ATGAGGTCTCACCAAGTTGTCCAGGCTGTTCTCAAACTCGTGGGTTCAGACAATCCTCTCACCTCAGCCTCCCAGAGTCCTGGGATTACAGGCTTGAGCCACCACGCCCAGCCATTGCTTTGTTAAACTCTGGTGTGTCCACATGGCTCTTTGAGCTATGGCCAACATGTTTCCTAGCTATGCCTTGGGGAGGTAAATCGCCTCTTCTCTCTCTTTCTAATTTACTTTCTAAATAAACTATATTTCCATCTAACTTCTGTGCAATACTTTGCATCTTTCACGTGGCACTGGATCGCCCACACACCCCTGTCAGGCCTAACCTAACATTTTGGAGGCCCCCGCTGGGATATTTTTAACCTAACAATAGTTTATAGAGAAAAAAAAATTACCAATAAGATAAGGTTAATCTATTATCGAAGAAAATACATTTTGTAATAAATGTAGTGTAGCCTAAGTGTACAGTGTTTCTAAAGTCTACAGTAGAGTCCTAGGCCTTCACATTTACTCACCACTCACCCACTGACTCACTCCATAACTGCCAGTTCTGCAAGCTCCATTCATGGTAAGTCCTCTATACAGACATACAATTTTTTTTATCTCTTATATTTTATTATGACTTTACCTTTTATTTTTTTATTTTTATCTTTTGAGTTGTAGTCTCACTCTGTTGCCCAGACTGGAGTGCAGTGGCACGGGCATGGCCACCCCAGCGTCGACCTGCTGGGTTCCAGCAATCCTTCCGCCTCAGCTTTCCAAGAAGCCAGAACTACAGATGCGTGCTACCATGCCCAGCTAATTTTTTTTATTTTATTGCAGAGACGAGGTCTCACCATGTTGCCCAGGCTGGTCTCGAACCCACGGGCTCAGGCAATCCCCTCGCCTCGGCCTCCCAAAGTGCTGGGTTTACAGATTTGAGCCACTGTGCCCAGCCATGGCGCCTCAGACTTTCAAGTAGCTGGAAATACTGTACCTTTTCTATGTTTAAGTAAACAAATATTCCCCATTGTGTTACGATTACCTAAAGAATTCAGGACAGTCACTTGCTGTGTAGGTTTGTATCCTAGGAACAATAGGGTATACCACAAAGTCTAGGTGTAGAGGGCTCTACCATCTAGGTTTCTGGAAGTTTATTCTATGCTATTTGCACGATGACAAAATCACCTCAGAATGTATCCCCATTGTTAGGCAACACTGTGAGACTGTGGTTGTCCCTCAGCTCAAGTATTTTGGAGATACACTACCAGTCTGAAATAGCAATCCAAAAGTCCTAAGCTAATTAAATAAAATACTTGTCAAAGGTTGTACCCACTAGTATATCTATGGTTGGAGTGGGAAATGGGGATGAGATGACAGGTCACATGTGTATGGTCTTGCATGTCCCTTGAAGTTTCTTTCACTTATTTGTATAGAAAAGATATCTTCAGTGATGCCTAGGCAGAAAGCAGACGCTAGCCAAATTCAGTCTAAAAATAGCACTTTGCTTTTACTGCAACATGACAACATGTAAGTGAATGGAGCTTTAGTTGATTTCTGCAGCTCTGTCAACAACAACCTTAATATACCCATCTGGCCCATATCTAGCAGAAATTTTAGATCTTCATTAGTATAAGGTTCAATTCATAGCTAAGAAACTGGCTATTGGATGTTTCGACAGATAGTTCAGTCTTTCTTAAAAATCTGCAAATATGAAGAATAGTAAGTTAATATAACCAGTTTTTGATAATGAGGTTAATGGTGTCATTTTGCTTAATCAAATGGTTCTCAACCTTGGTAGCCCCACCAAGTCACCTGGGAAGAATCTTAATAATATCTATGCTGAGGTCCCATCCCAGAGCAGTTGAATTAATTCTTGGGGTGAAGGCCCAGGTATGGGTATTTTTTTAAGACCCCCTAGGTGTGATTCTAATGAGCAGTCAGGGTTGAGAACCACTGACTTAGGTGGCCTTTCCCATATCGATAGCCCTGTTCACTTGTATGTGGTTCTTCAAGACTCTGACCTTAGGGTTTGGGACCTCAATCCCTAGTTTGTACCTAGGCAGAGCCCACATATGATAGCTAGTCAAACTGAAGCCCGGCCAGGGAGGTCTTTATTGTTTAATGTCCCCACTTAAAAGCACTTATGGAACATACCACAGGTAGTACACTATTGGAGGATTCAGCTCTACTCAGTTTAAGACTGTTCATTGATTAGTACCCGTGTGTTCTTCTTGACTGCCTAGCCAAGGTCAAGGATGGTGTTATGTAAGCCAGGGTATGAGGAGGTACTTGGTAATATGTGTTGAGACAAGGGAGATTAGTTACAAAAATGTTTTTGAATTGGAATAAATCCTTGTCAAACTAGAAAGACAATGAGTTTTCAAAGATGAACAATATAAAATACTGTAGCAAATTTTAGGTTGCTTGGTAATCTAAACTCTAATATATATATGAATCTGGACTTCAAAAAGATGTTATACTTCATCTGAGCTCCCATTTCATAAACTATGATATTTCCAAACATACAATTTAAGGAGTTTTATCAAAGATTGGGTTTGGTCACTGAGACCCATTTACTTTTCCCTCCAATGTCTTCCAGAAAAAAAAAAAAAAAAGCACGTTGAGTGGGGTAGGAAGTTTAGGAATGTGGTAAAATCTAAGTTGCTTCCAGAAATCTCCAAAACACAGAAGCAACAGCTAAAGACATAATGGTGTGGGTGTGTCAATAAAACTTTATTTATAGATGCTGAAATTTGAAATTCAACTAATTTTTACATGTCACAAAATCATTCTTTTGATTCTTTTTCAATGATTTAGTAATACATAGATAACTATGTCTCTTAAAATGTGTATCCATTTTTTTTGACACCCCGGTATTTATTGTTTTTTCTTTGCAAGGTCCTGTACTAGAAGCCATAGAAATGTAACGAAAAGTATGGATCTCTTTCATAAGGTGTTTGCAGTCCAGAGAGGGGGATGTGACACTCTACCTGAAAAATGACTAATGATCTTAACATGTATATATTTGAGACCTTCTCTGATGAATGCAATATTTTCTTTAGCACTGATTTTGTTCATTCTCCAACTCTAAAACTTATTGAGGTTATTAATGAAGCTTTTTAGAAGGTCTAAGTAAATAGACTATTGTGTCCAAACAGTAAGGCAAATATTTTGAATCTTGCCATTGACACAAGTGCATACCACAGAGTAGAATGTGACCAGAAAGGGGTCCCAGCATCATTACTTCTAGAGTTGTGTTGTTTGTCTGCTAGACTACATAGCATCATCTAAAAGTTGTTGGAGTCGAGAGGCTAAACGTTTAACGATCAAATTCGCAGTAAGAGGCAAAGTCCGAGCCTCCCTTCATTTCTCACTAACAGTTATCAGATAGAAAGGGAAATGAAGCTTCAGTCTCCCAGGGACTGCTGAAGACACACTTATGATTTTTGTGAAAGTGTACGTGAATGTATGGGCTGGGAAGAAACTTTCCCTCATTACAAACCGGGTAGATTTTGATAGGGATAACTAAGAAGATAAAAATGTTAAGGAAGACGCTAGACAAATTGCAAATAGGAGACTGTGTCTGTGGTTAGGGCTTTGTAATCCATAACAAAAGGGTTTGGGGGATGCCATTGTTGCTTTTGTTGACTTGAGACAAATTGCAAATGCATAGATAGCTTAGGGTACTGCTTTTCCTAATTATGGGTAACACACTGTCCCAAATACATGCAGTGCTGTTGACCACTAAGTCCCTTTATACATTAAGGGCTTGGTTTATTCATACAATGGTTAAGCAAATTAATGAAAGGAATTCAAACCAATGCCACTTGTACTATTTTGCTCCTATTTTGATTAACCTTGGTGGTAGTGAAGCTCTGCTTGTTCAGTTCATACTGATTGAAAGGAAATCACTTTCAAGAGCAACACTTTTTAAATTTCTCTGTAATTTCAGAAGTATATTTTAGAAATATATTCTAATATCTATTTCAGATATTTCTAAAATTATATGCGTGTATATATATATGTGAAAATTCCTATATAGAATAAATACATATATGTAGGTGCTTGTAAGGAATAAGTAGTAATTTGCTTAAGGAAAATATTGAGGTACTGTATATTTAGTTACTTAAAAGTCAAATATCTCCATTTAATCCTTTTAAAAAATCACACAAAATTGTATCTATTTCCAAGTGACAGAGAAAACTTTCATATCAGTCACTCGTACTCTCATCAGCTTTTTGAGGTAATATTACAAAACAACACATTTGCCAATCATTGGGATTCGTTTTAAACACCCACGTCTTTACTCAGGAAAGCACCCTATATCACCACTCCCAAACAGGCCTGTTAGTGCCATCAGGAAACTAGCAGGGTACTTGGCATAAAAGACAAACTCACGTTTTATTTATATTTTACAAAATCTATATTTTAATAATGTATACACAGTAAAAAAAACAAAACAAAAAAACACAGCACTCATGCCCCTGTACTCTACCGAACGACAACAAAAAAAGTCTGATTCTACTTCATGCATGCACACACAACGCACTAAGCATAAACGCATTTACACAACAGGAAGGTAGCTCTGTTGTGAGCAGACACAAGTAATGGATACTGTTTCACTTCACCCGAAAGGGACAAACTTGCAAAGTTTAGGAAAGTGAGTATAGCTCTGAGGACTGGGACAGCAGAATAGCCTAATTCTATTTTTCTTAAGATTCTTTTCCCTCAAAGTATCCCTGAAGGGGGGCGGGGGGCATTATTTTCACAGCAGTCAGAGCATTTACAAGATGCATTGATGAGAGCTACAAAATACGGGGCGGGGAGGCAGTAACAGAATGATTGCGTCCATAGGTCTGATGATGCACACAAGGGTACCCCGCGAGTCGACTGCTTTTATCCGAAGACGCGTCCTTGGAAGCCCAGGGCCACCGACAGCCGCGGCGGCTGCGTGGGACAGGGCTGCGGCTCGGGAGCCCGACCGCCGGGCACCTCCCCCGGGGGAGGGCGGGGGTCCGCGCGCCCTAACTGGCCATCGGGAAGGGCTCGGGCTGGAAGCCGAAGAGTCTCTGGCCGTAGGGCTCGCTCTCGCCCGGCAGCTTCGCGCCCGCGAACGGGAGGTAGGGGTCGCGGCCGAAGTGCTCGCAGTGGAGACTGACCCAGTCCCGCTCCGAGCCGAAGCGCTCGGCCTCGGCCAGGATGCGGGTCAGCGCCATGATGTAGCTCAGCGCCATCTGCAGGGTCTCGTACTTGGACAGCTTTTTATCCTGGCCCCACTGGGGCACCACCCGGCGCAAGCGGTCGAAGGCGGTGTTGAGCCCCTGCATGCGGCGGC